TGCACCACGGCTCATTTTCCCAACACTGAAACTCACTCCACTCCATCTGAAGTGGTGGAAGTTGCTCTCCGAAGCACAGTGTTGGCTGTCACTGTGGCCCATTTCCAGCAAGGTGTAGATCGCATGAGCCCTGGACTCAGGTTCCATTTGGGGGGCTTAAATCATTTGTCCATAGCAGTGGCATCAAATTTTCATGTTAAGGGAGACTCTAGGAAAACAGAATGTGGGGCAGAGATAAGACAAGCTCTCCCTCTACTGCTGTATCCTTGAAAAAGAATATTACACCACCTGGAAGAAGATATTTTCATATAAATCTTACAAAAATTTCACTAAGAAGGTTGGAAATAAGGAGATATATTTCTAAATACTCTTATCTGGATCCAACTGTTTGTCGTTAAGGTGACCAAGCATTTGCTGTAGCAAGTCAAAACCTGTGGAAGGTGTTACAGCACGTTTTGAATTGTGAACCATTAATGATTTATTTTGTTTCTTAACACAAAGCTAAAAACAAATATGGTTATAACTGCTTAAGCTCATAACAGTATAGTCACTCCTATTTATTTTATTATTATATGTTTATGATTTTTTTGTTTTTATTTGGATTTATTCTAGTAAGCATTTCTTTGTCTAATAGCTCAGTATTAACTGTTATAAAGTGCTCTACATTTGTTTTAATTAACTGTGAATATTTACAAAAGATCTGACTAAGAATGAAGAAATCAAGACTGACAATACACATAATTTTAAAACAAAAACATTTAAAGAAAAGGAAATCAAAAACATTTCCTTCCTTTAGAATGTTAGGAATTCAAAAATGATTTAACTAAAGTTGTCAACTAATTCAAACCAGCCTTCAAATTTACATTTGTGTATTTTCTGTCATCAGAAACATGTCTGAAGGGCTGCATATTCTTACCAGAAGAAATAATATGCAGCCCAACAAATATAATGTTTTTGTTACTTTATCATAATGACACTTTTTGGTTTCATAGTTCGGAAACAATATAAAACACTGCTTATTGCAGTTCGTTTGAGTCACAGTGTTTTTTTTTTTATTTTATTTTTTTATTACAAACCTTACAAAGTACAAAACATTGACAGGGCGACTTGTACATGCATTTCAATTCAATACAACAAATTAACAGACAAAGTCGGTCAGTGACCTGTCAAACCATCATTGCGCAAGCCCATAAAAAATAAAGATCATAAAACAATTCAAAAATAGACACCATAAACATCACATCGCTTTTACACTTGAATTATGGCTTAAATAAAATAACAAAAACAGTACTACAGTAAAATAGTTAAATAATAGCAAAGGGCAATCTTATATTAAATCAAAGTGTCCCAACAAGGATGATAATTTGACAGCAGGTTTGGATTTAGTCAGTCTCAGAGAATCATAATATGAATCAGTCATTTTGCCAATGGCAAAAAGTGGGCTTTGTTTTAAAATACCTACTTCTGTGCAAGAAAAAAAAAACACTACTATAAGACAATTTCCTAAATGTTCAAGAGCCTTATTTTCACTTTCTAAAGTATATAAAATGAATGGTTCAGATAGTGTCGACAAAACTGTTCAGTCATTTTTGGGATTGAGCCACAGCGTTTGGATCTCCAAAAATGCACGGAATTTTCATCACTCCTACGTATCAATGTTTACCCGGAAGCAATTCTCTGCACGTGTGTATTTCAACCTTGAAGAACTGCAACGGAAAATTTACAGCATCTAATGTGTCCTTGCTTACCGTTACAGTAATGCCAGTGACAAGATTGTTGTAAGTATTCATGTTTAGTTTTTAAACGAGTGTTTTAAAGCTTCACTCACAGTGCTAATAGTTACCATTTTTAATAGTTTGGGGACTTAACTAACCCCAGCTAAAGGTTGGTATAAACACTGTCCCCCTTCTCTGTTTTGTATGTCCCATTGTTGCTTTGGGCTGTGCATTTCTTGTGTTGGTGTTATATGGAATAAACGTTTCAAACTGTTGACTTCTTACTAAAAACTGGCATGACCCATTCACAGAGAGAATGCAGTTAGCATTAGCTAGCTAAGCTAAAAACATTTGTCTCCTCTGTTAGCAGGTAACTGTAGCTACTGCTAACTGCAGTTTTAAAACACGTTACACGACATCCGGGTGTTGTAAGCTGACAGGTGTGTTTAATTGTACGCTTTGCAAATATATTTATATTCTCTTTTTTACTTTTAAAATTGTGAGTTTCAGCTGAATGATCCATATTTTGAAGCGCTGTATGTCTGTGTTGAGCTTTTACAAACGACAGCAGTTGAATTTATGTCTAATAACTTTCTATAAATGCTAAAAAACAAATACTATCAGCCTAATCATGTCTTACAGTAAGCAGCAGTGACTTTTGGGGTAATGTAGACAATTTTTGAAAGAAACTCACCTTATAGAAATGTTGAATTATAATTATGCATATCTTCCTATTACAAAAATGTTAACAAAGCTGTAAATCTAATTTAAGTTTATTAAGGTAGGGGATTCTTGATACAACTTTTTCCTTTCCAGTACAATACCTATATTGCAACTTTTAAGTGTTGACCGATACCAATATTGAAGTGGATTCAAATACAGTTCTCTAGACAAGTTGCCTTTTATTAGGGAAAGCTTACTGTTCAGATATGGCTCTTTTACATGTAATTTTATGGATTTATAACCAGAGCTGCTAAAAAATGTTCTGCCAACCTGTGACAGGGTTGAGATTGGAGTGGTGCTGATTTTTAGCTTTTCTTTTTTTCTTTTCTTTCTAAAACAAGATCAATAAATAAAGAAGGGTTCTAGTACCCATCCTCTCAGATACTATGAAATATAAAGATTATAGCGCTCACCTTCTTGTCTCCTCTCAGACACCCTCTCTACCAGCTGGGGAACCCTCAACTTAGGATCTTCAGACCCAACTGGTTTCTGACCCTCGTAAGGCCGGGGAAAGAGCAACCTCCTGACACTGTCCAATTTCGTGTACCAATGGAGTAAGTTTTTGCTTCTAAGTATATACTGAGATATATAGTGGCTTTAAAAAAAAAACAGACTGTTCTGTCGCAGTGAGAAATTTTGACATAACATATTTGCATTTTGTTACTATGTTACCAAGCAGTGAATTGAAATTAATTGGTTCTTTGAAAAACAGAGATCCAATGCTCTGTTTTACCATATCGCACACCACCACATGTTGAATAAATACTAGCAGACCTAGAATGTAAGTTTGTACTTTGAATGTACAAGATTTGGGGTGTATGTACTGATCTGAAATATGATAGTTTGATAATTATTTTTTTTTTTTTGCCAGATACATTTATTATTCTTATCTTTCATATTTCTGTCATTTTTCACTGACAGTTTTTGAATAATAAGAAGTAAGCAAAAGCATATATAAAACAAATATATACTCTATTAGAACCCCCCTTATGATTTGTTATTAATTATTATGATAGTGGTATGTGATTACAACAGGGTGACATCATGTTTTGCTACAGTTATGTTCTAAGCATTTGAAATATATATACCGATGATTTATTGTAATCATAAATGTAGTGTGTGCAATATTCATATCACAAAAGACTGTGAGATTTCCGTCAGTATTGGCTAATAAGGCTAAATATGCATTTCTCAAGCTAATATAATATTTAACCAAAATGCTCAATGCAACAGATGGTAACTTTGAAGACATATCAGAATATCCAGAATGCTAAAGGTCACAGATTGTAGGTAACACAAATAGGAAAGAGAGCCAAAAAGACGGTATATTAGAGCCCCTTTATAGTTAGTGCTGAGCAATATAACCAGGTGTTCTCTGTGTCAGCTGATAGTTTGTTAAAACTAAACAGCAGGCATCTGCCATTTCAACAATATACCCTCTAAATATGTAAGGCACCATAGGAAAGATGCTGAGAAAGAATTTTGTGTTTATGGTTTTAGAACGCTTTACACACGAGTAACAGAAATGATTTGTACAGGAGGGTTTGGGGGGCAAAGAGCTGAAGGGATGATTTGCAGTCTTAAGATTTTCTCCTTTCTTTAAGTTCTAGGTTTCTCTTGCTAGATGAATGCTTTATGGTGATCTTAAACACTATTTATTATAAGAAGAAGATGGACAGATGGTAATTTGATCCTGAGTGTCTAAGTGAATAGTCAACCTATGGGTTAGTATCAGGGGTGATGGGGAGATGTATGTTGTAGTTTTCCATGCTCCAAAGACACAGACCTGTAAATCCCAATCTGAAACTGTCATTGGCATAGCTGTCATATTAATAGGGAGCTTTTAATTATGTGTTTTGACTATTTTCTCAGTGTTGAATCATCAAGATACAAAAAATAAATAGCAAAGTTTTAGAGGCACAAGTATAAATATTTTGTGTATTTTCTTTTCATTCACACAGGGTCAAATCTATGCCTACATTCCCATTGATATTTACGATAATGCCCTTTAGCTAGTCACAGAAATGCAAATTCTTGAAGCCATTATTTCCTCCTAACTACTCTTCGAATCAAAAATGATGGAGCGCGTTTAAAGTGGTGCGTTTCCTGGTACTTGACTTTTAAGCAAAGTCTATACATTTTCAAAGGGGTGCAAGTAAGAGCCAAGGCTTAATTTTAGATTAATCTATCAGTTATAAACCAATTATAAGCCAATTTTGCTGTGTTTTTTTTTTAGATCCTTTGCTAAAACACCAAAATGTACCCAAGTTTATCCATCCAGAATATTCCTTGATAGTAAAACCAACTCCCTGTATTGCTCTGCCACCACCATCTTTGACGGATGGTTTTAAAACTTACTTACTTTAGACTTTAGAAATGTTAGTGGTATACACAGTGTACACAAAACAAAATTTTATTTTGAACAGCTCTTATGACATTTCCAATTTGTTAAATCAAATGTAAACATTGTGAGAAAAAAAAAAACATGGTGCAAAAAAAAAAAAAAATGCATGTTGTTGTTGTGTCAAGAGAGTGCAGTCTCCTCTGACTGTAAAAACCTTTTCCCTGAAGGAATTTTGGCTTGTCTGTGTAAACAGCTGTAAATTTCATTCATGCTCAGGAGTTAGGGATTTTGGAACAGTCCCTTCTGCATTCACACCCATGTTAAACTTGCTATGCTGTGAAGAGTGACGCTGCTGTTCCAGAATATTAAATACAATGCTTCTTCCATGCTATTTTTCGAAAAACCCTAATCAATTAAATGTCTTCTAATTGAACAATTTGGGCTATATAAGTGCAACATTGACTGAGTAAAGTTTTTCTGAAATAAATTATTTTGTATACAGCATAAAATATGGTTTGAGTTAAAAAAAAAAATAAATAAATCTTTGTTTCTTACGTCTATGTATTGGGGTTTAGACTGACACCAGTACATCAGATCGCAATGACTGAAGAATAATTAATCATCTTATCCATCATGTTACATTATTTAAGGTCTCTTGGTTTGAGGAAATATTTAAAAAGTGCTGGAAAATGTGCCAAAAAAATTGGACTAAAAAAACACTTCTTTCATGAAAATGTGAAATTGAGTTTCTGGCCACCAGATGGCATGAACACTTCAGGAATAGAAAACAGAAAAGCTCTTATCACACGCTAATACAATTGAAATCTTAAATATTTGACTGGAACAGTCCCAGTGATGGCTTATGAAAGGCTTCCAAGAGGAATGATGTAGGAGGTGATGTTTAAAGAACTTTTGTTTAGTTATGTAGTTGAAGTTAAGAAAAAGTTGTTGACAGCAAGACGCAGAACACCAGTCACTAACAAGACAGTATGAGTACCTAAAAGCAAATGAAAATATGTTTTTGGTTATACTTTAAATGCCATGTCTAACTGAGTATTAAGAATACCACTCCACTTGACGACTACCTGGGTTTGCATTGTTGTGTCCTCTTGATGAACCCGCTAAAAAGTCCAATGTATGTAACAGCGCTTACTTGCACATAAAGTTTTAGTTTGCGGGAATGCAACAGGGTATATTCTATGGTAAAACCTTTATGCATGCCCTTACTAATCATCCCAGGTACTAGTGAGTAGATTTTTGAGTGCGTCTGTTGGCCGAGGTTACTGAGGTTTGTATTCTCCTCAGGCGAAGAGAGGCCCAGAACCCATGCTAAGGAGAAAAATTAAAGTTTTCAGCAGATCATCTATGTGTCTCTGGTGGGGTTTAGACCATAATCTGTTCATCCAGGTGCTTGGCCTCCCACTCTGATTTTTGCCTTTTCTCTGCCAAACTCCTAGGGTGCTTATGTAATTGTGTATATGTGTGTGTGTGCGCGCACTTTTGTCAGTGTGGGCGAGTCTGCTCGTGAGAATGGTGTGCGTCTCTGTGTACACATGCACAAAAGTGGGTAAGTGGTGGGTGCGTGTGTGTTTTAAAAGGGTGTGTAATGTTATTTTTTGTTTCTTTGCAGTCTTTGATGCCTGTTAGAGGTACACAGCTGATTGATACGGAACTGGAGCCTCACTGTGTGCTCGAAATGTTGTTTTTCTGTATTTATTCAAACATGTAGTACGAGGTCCCACGTTGTGAGACAATGACACAAACTAAATATCACTCCCACTCCTAGTTTATTGATGAGTGAGTCAAGAAGGCAGTGAAAGCAGTTGTAGGCGTGTAAGCGTGAGTAAACTATTGAACTGAGCAGCTGTTCATGAGAGCCGGTGATGATGGTGTCATAAAGCATGTTGGTATTATAAGGCGATCTTTATATTAATGACACCCAGGAGCTACAGTTCCTGAATCAAATTGTGTAGCAGGAGAAGCATCAGTGTAACAGTGTAGGAAAAAATAAAATGTTATTTGGTAGCCTCTTATTTTAATGGCTTCAGTTTCAGTTGGATGTGATCAAAACATATTTAGTATCAGCGTACCTTAACTATATATCTTGGTGCACACTTGGTCATATTCCTTGAACTTCCAAACATTTTGCCACATCTCAAGCGTAAGCTTTTACTGTAATTTATACAGAATTTATGTAGTTAAACCAACACAAAATTTTATAGAGAAAGGGTTTGAGAAACACGTGTTTAAATTTGTTTCTTAACAAATTTTATAAATTGTGATTAGAATTTGTATTCTCTTTATTTTGATAGCTTGAAATTAAATCCAGTTGCTCTAAACAAAGAAATGAGTTCACTGTAGTGCGATCCCTTAGAGGTTTGCTAAGAAGCTTCATAAGGTCTAAGAGAAAACGCAAACAGATAAGTTGTAAAGTTTACGGAAGACCAATTATGCCATGATTAAAAATGCATAATGAAATTAATAAATGAACCATTAAAATAGGCGCATATTCAAAAAATAGCTTTAAATCTAAATCACTGTGCCATTTAATTCAAAAAAGGGGGGAAAGGAGAGATTAATATACACTCACCGGCCACTTTATTAGCTACCCCATGCTAGTAACCGGTTGGACCCCCTTTTGCCTTCAGAACTGCCTCAATTCTTCGTGGCATAGATTCAACAAGGTGCTGGAAGCATTCCTCAGGGAGTTTGGTCCATATTGACATGATGGCATCACACAGTTGCCGCAGATTTGTCGGCTGCACATCCATGATGCGAATCTCCTGTTCCACCACATCCCATGGTGGATGCTCTATTGGATTGAGATCTGGTGACTGTGGAGGCCATTTGAGTACAGTGAACTCATGTCATGCCCTTCTATCAGCTCGAACCAGTCTGGCCATTCTCCTCTGACCTCTGGCATCAACAAGGCATTTCTGCCCACAGAACTGCCGCTCACTTGATGTTTTTTCTTTTTCGGACCATTCTCTGTAAACCCTAGAGATGATTGTGCGTGAAAATCCCAGTAGATGAGCAGTTTCTGAAATACTCAGACCAGCCCTTCTGGCACCAACAATCATGCCATGTTCACAGTCACTCAAATCACCTTTCTTCCCCATACTGATGCTCGGTTTGAACTGCAGGAGATTGTCTTGACCATGTCTACATGCCTAAATGCACTTAGTTGCCGCCATGTGATAACGAGCAGTT